ATTCATGAGTATGATTGTTTGTATCGGTCTGAGTGTTTTCTATGTATAATATGTATTTATTTACAAAAAAAAATGTATCCATGTATTTATATCAGTTGTCTAGTACTCATAACACAAGCTCTGCTTAGCTTGGGACTAGATGACGCTGTGTCAATTGTCCTGAGACATTATTATTATTATTATTATTACATTATTTAGCACAAGATAGAAATGCCTGGAGAGTATTGGTTGGAAGGAGCATTCCTGGTGGTCACGACCCTCAGTCTTGAGGAACCGACAAAGAAGAAGATTACAGATATGTTGCAATGTGTAATTATTTAATGTACAGAAGGGGATTGTTACTAATGTGGACTAATAACCACATCGCTAGCAAAGTACCATGTTAGATTGACCTCCACATGGTGGTCGTGGAAACCATCGTGAACAGAGATTAAGTGCGAAGCGGTTTCTATGTTGACTGTCGCATGCCTAATCCTTGTTATTAATTCAATATAAGTAAATCAATATTTATTTAAAAGAGCAACACACAAGTTTCTTGCTTTTTCTTCTTGTGATGAATCTGCATTCCGAATAAGCGGTAGAATAAAAAAACTTGACTATTCAAAAGTGCTTATATTAAGTTTATTTGAATAAACATTATTTATATATATAGTTCTATCGTGATAAATTTATGGTGAATTAACCACGATTTAACTGTCCTGACCTCATACTCCTCTTATCATCATCCACTGGTGCCCGCTAGCGTAAACTTTTTTATTTTTTCTTATGCTTGATACTAGAATAATGCACCCAAGCATCATTCTAGTATCAAGCATAAGAAAAAATAAAATTGAATGTGTTTAGAAATACAACACTAGTTAACCGACAGACGTTCTTCTTAACTATGAATATTGATTTCATTTGTAATATAATAAAAAAAATTGCATCGCCACTTATTATATTTTTTTCTTTCTTAACCAAACAATAAAAAAAAATTTATTTATTCATTTATTTCAGGCAACTAGGCCTATATTATAAATACCTTATAGACTAACATACATATAATATAATATTTAAAAACTAATACGGTCTGATTGATGAATAATGTTTGTGGCGTGCGAGGTATCGAACCCGCGACCATATGAAGTAAGCTCGATCTATCTCGGTGAACGTTATAAGCTATAAGAATTATAATAACTTTTCATTTTTGTAATTGTCGCACTGTTTGTTATTTTTTTTGTGTTTTAGTTTTTTCTTCTACTGAATAAATATCATTTCATAATATTCTCAATAGCCTAACAAATCAACTGTAAAATATGCCCATTGACCGCATACTTACATATGATAAAGGTTAACACTGAAGGAAATTCTCGAATGGATCTAATTCATAAGATTTCAACGATTTTAATTATTGTTACAGCCTATACTGTAAATAATATAAATGACGTAGTGGAGTAACTTGAAACAGTCATGCTCGATATAAAGTTCAAACTTGTGGCGGCGTGGTGGGCCGCGATGTGCTCCCTCAAATATGGTTGAGTGCAATGATGGCTGGTTCCAACTTCATATTTGTGAACGGGTGCTGCTTGTAGGTACTGGTCTGTTTGGATTACGAACACTGATTAGACTATTTGCTTATGTAATAGCATATGCTGGTGGCCACTCTATTCTCCAAAATATGAATTTAAAAATGAATCTGTATTATTGTAAACATGTACAACATTTATTTGAAAAGAATACGAGCTGTGTTTCTTGTCAGTTCTTCTCATATCGAAATCATTCCGAACTGACGGAAGATTTGACATATCATAAGAGTCTGTAATAGACCTATATGAATAAAGGATTTTGAATTGAAATTGAATTCGAAATGAATTGAATTTTCACTGAGGTAGACTAAAAAGTTAGTACCTCCGTCTCACCTTGACGGCCTCGATGGTCTAGCGGTGTAGCACACCGCTTTACTCCTGATGGTAGTGGGTTCAATTCCTCGCACGGTGCAAACATTTACGTTCATGAATATGATTGTTTGTAACGGTTTGGGTGATACCCTTAGGTGTATAATATGCATAGAAAACACCCAGACCAATATAAGCAATCATACCCATGAATACATATGTTTGTACTGTCCTAGGAATCGTACCCGCGACCATCGGATGTAATGCGGTGGCGGCGGTTCGATTCCTCGCACGGCGGCACAAACATTTGTATTAATGAGTATGACTGTTTGTATCGGTCTGGGTGTTTTCTATGTATAATATGTATTTACGAAAAAAAAATCTATGTATTTGTATCAGTTATCTAGTTCCCATAATACAAGCTGCAGCTAGCTTAACTTGGGTCTAGATGGCGCTGTGTGACTTGTCCTGAGATTATTATTATTATTAATATTTATGTGTATAGATGTATAAAATATTACAGATTTTAATAGAAGTAACTGTTACGCTTTTGTACTTGTACCAAATACTTTGTTATTACAATCGTAAAAAGGTCAGAATACATGTGAGCCATTTGCTGAAACCTACCCCCAGGGAAGAGGCTATACGAACATACGTAGTGTTATTATTCTGCTAATTCTATTCTTCTAAATATCATACAGGGTGTCCCGTTTGTTTACTCTTGCCGGATTTTCTAACCTGTTATTTATTTAAACACTCTTTGTAGCAATAGATATTGCATAAGAAATGTATATGTTCATCTTGATCCTCGATGATATAGCGGTTAACGGACAGCTTTACTTCCGATGCTCGCAGGTTCGATTAGAGAGGTAGATTGTATTGTATGTTGGACTCCATTTACCGCAATTGGCCTCTCATTTGGGCCGTTGTGCGTGTAGAGCCAGGCTACTAACGTAGCCAGCCAAGCTCCTCCCAGAAGCGCAGAAATCTCCTGGTGTCTTCAAAGGCTTCACGGAGCGACCTCACCGTTCTGAGGATTTGATTGCGTTGTGTGGTCACTGCTACATACTCCAGGATTACGTGAGCGGCCGTTTCCTCGGCTACAAAGCAGCCCCGGCATAGGGGACTGTCTGTAGCACCTATTGTGTATAGGTGTTTGTTTAAGGGACAGTGGCCCGTCATTGTCCCTATCATTATTTTTATGTTGTGCCTGTCCAGATTTAGTAGGCGTTTTGTCATTCGTTGATTAGTTCTAGGAATTGCCACTTTTTATTGTTTGCAATCGGTGGTTTGTTTCCATCTTTGGTTTTGTATTAGAGAGGTAGAGCAGATTAAAGATTAGATTCGGTACATAATTTATATTGATGAGTATGATTGTTTTGTATTGGTCTATGCGATTTTTGTATGTATTATGTATATACCATCTGAATGCAACGCAAACGCAACTTCGTCTGCATTATACTTACATGACCGTTATAATTATACTAGCTACTCGCCCGGCTTCTCACTGGTGTACATTTATTATACATATAAAGGATCCTCTTGAATCACTCTATCTATTAAAAAAATACTGCTTCGAAATCCGTTACGGAGTTTTAAAGATTTATTATAGGGACGGACAGACAGCGATAGCAATTTGTTTTATACTATGTAATGATTTCGCCCAATTTACATACTATCTTTTTAAAGTATAGTCTATGTTATTCTGATTAATAAGATATATTACTATAAAGTTTCATTAAAATAGGTTCAGTATTTTTTTGCGTAAAAGAGTAACAAACATCCATCCACAGTCACTAACTTTCACGTTTATAATATTAGTATACTAAATACCTTTATTCATGTAGGTCTATTACAGACTCTTATGATATGTCAAATCTACCGTCAGTTCGCAATGATATCGAGATGAGAAGAACTGACAAGAAACTCAGCTGGTATTATCAAATAAATGTTGTACATGTTTATAATAATACAGTCATTAAAATTCAAATTTCGGAGAACAGAGTGACTACTAGCATATGCTATTGCAAAAAAAACAAAAAAATCTAGTGTTTGCAACCTGAACAGACCAGTCCTCACAAGCAGCACCCGTTCACGAGTATAACGGATGAGCCAGCCATCATTGCACTCAACCATATTTGAGGGAGCACATCGATCCGGCCCACCACGCCGCCACAAGTTTGAACTTTATAGCGAGCATGACTGTTTCAAGTTCAACTACGTCGACGTTGTGTTAATTATCTAACGATATTATTGTTATTTTTAAAGTATATTATTTGATTCTGATAATGTTCATATAATATAAAGTATATAAAGTATATATAATATAAAGTATATTATTTTAATTAATCATATAATTTAAAGTATATTATTTGATACTGATAATGTGCTGTAAATTCATTTAATAATTTATCTGTGTGTTTAAAGAACATCAGAACCGTTTCAGTATCTTTACACACTATATAACAAAGTCGCCCCCGTTATCTGATCATTTATATCTTTTAAAATCCGTTGTTTAATACAGTTTTTAAGCAATAGATAGAGTGATTCAAGAGGAAGATTTATATGTTATTTTTTTAAACTTTAATGTACAAATACTATAATAAATGTACATATGGCGAATTTAATACCAAAAGGCCTTTTGCTACCATAAGGTAAACCGAAAAATTAGTAAGAGGCGCATCATAGTTTATAAATATACGTAAATAGTATATTTATAAAACATACGTTCTATAGTATAGAACAAACTGAGAAATTAAAAGATTTGAATTGAAGAAATTAAAAGTAATGTTTCCATAATAAACTAGGAAGGGTCACTATTAATTAATTTTATAGTTACTGAATAAAAATTTAAGGCTTTCAGTGTTTTAAATTGTTATAATGCATTAAAAAAATGTTTGCTTATGAACGTAAATTTTTTTATATTATAATTTTTTACTACCATCCAGTTCAGGATATGGATCCAATTGAGAAGAACTGGCAAGAAACTCAATTGAATTACTTATATATATTTTTATATAAAAGCCAGTTTATTTGCAATGTAATTTATGTAGATGTAAATGTATATCTATAAATAAATGACTATGATTATTGTAGATATTAACATTTTGTTGTTTATTGTTACAGATAATGAAGCCGTAGTTGCAATTTGTGATGGCACTGAAATAGTTGAAAATGAATATTGTAAGAAGATTACTAGAAACATTAAGAACAGAGGCGGTGAAGAAGAAATCACTGCAGTTCTAGAACTATACAGAGCAGAAGAGAACGTAAACAGTAGTATTGTAATAATGAAAGGTAATACGGCGAATTTGAAGATATTCAGGTGTAAGAAAGTGTGTGGAGTTCGAGTGAAGGAAATAAAGGAAACGAGATAAGGTAGGCTTTTGTGGAAGTGGCCCATTGTTGGGGCTTTCGAAGTTTTTTCATATCCTTTGTACTGTTGTGTGTGGATAATATTTGAAGGCTTTATTGACAGTAATACGTTACGCTGTTAATATGTGATTTTAATTTTTTTGTGCAAACTGTACAACAAAATTAAAATGCAAATTTGTACTGTACTTTTTTTTTTTTTTAATTTAATGCTCGTCATTCATAAGTAAAGAGTACATATGATGCACTTAACACCTAAATATTTATGTTTACGCCTTTTATTAAGAAGAGGGTCTTGATGGTGAATTAAACTCGGAAATTCCTGGCTAGTTTTTTAATTACTTGAAAATAAGTTTACAGCGGTTGGTATACGATCGTTAGCGAATTTTTAATATTAACTTGTAACGGTCAGCGTATTGTCTCTGGCCTGCTGTATATACCGACGTTCTAGGGTTGCTATATTAAAATAATATATTGGGCCAAATATAGAACAACTGTGGCTGAACAATTTATATTACAGATTTTTTTAAAAGTTATTTGATTTACTGCGAAGTAATTAAAAATGTTAAATAAGATTTTTTTTTATATATACATTGCGGATTTTTTTACTTATGTGATGGTAAGGGTCTGTTTATTCCGGCTAATCTCTGAAATGGCTGGACCGATTTTGACGGGACTTTTTTTGGCAGGTAGCTGATGTAGCAAGGAGTAACTTAGGCTACTTTTATTTTAGAAAAATAAAATTAATTTACATGCAGACGAAGTCGCGGGTACCGCTAGTAATGAATAAGTTACCAATGAATCTAGCTGGTTTTGCAATGACTCTATGAATTGCAGGCCGCCACATATGGATCGGATAAACGTAACCAACTTGACGGCCAACGAAACCGGCGACAACTGGAATGCCACCACCAGCAAAGCCACCACTGACGAGTGGACACACAGCATCATGTTCAAATTCCGGACATGCATTCTGCTGCTCATTGTCGTCATGGCAGTGCTCGGCAACTTGCTTGTCATCGTCAGTGTCATGAGACACAGGTTTGTCATCTTTTATATCTGTATCTAATATTATCTTATCTGTGTTATCTGTAACTCTATCTTGAGACATAGTTTTGTCACCTTTTATATCTGTATGTAGACTCTTATTTATGATATCTATAACCCTATCTTTTATGTTCATACGATCGTTTCTTATGATATCCTTCAATATTTAGTTACTGTACTATATGTTTTTTAATGGTTTATAATGAAATGGTGTACGCGCATGCGCTAACTGTTTACGCTAGTGGAAGATGGTAAGATGAGCATGAGCCTGAGGTCAAGCCCAGATGACAAATTCACCAGGAATTTGTCCTGATGATTTCAGGGAGAATCGCGTGGAGGTCAACCTGATATGGTACATTGTTAGTAATAAGGTCATCAGTCCACATTACTAACAATCCCGTTCCTCTAAAGTATATTGAAATAGTTGCGTAATTTAGCTTGATTTTATACAAAGATGGACCCTACAACAATTAACAATCAAGAGTTAAGCAATGGATCACAATTAGTCATTAAATGTCACAGATTCATCTTGTCAAAGTTAAATAATATCGTTAAAGTACACAATTAACTAAACACTGTCAACTTTCGACGGGATCCAATATCAGAATATTCTTGTATTATTTATTTGTGTGTATGACAGAGAATTATTGCGAACTTTGATGAATAAAGCTTCCTTCAAAGTGTCTAAATAAGAGTCTGTAGATTTATTGATAAAACTTGTTGTTGTTTTGAAAAGAATATATTACTTGCTTATAATAAGCTTTCCGCGATTCTGCCTGCATAAAATTGGGGTAATATAAAGTTTTTTCATAAATTTGTGATTTCATACAAATAAGTTTGGGAATTCAATTACAATTTTTTCTTATCTAAAGTAAAAATACTGATATTAAATTACAGAATGAATTGCTTTTAAAGCTGTGTGTATTATTGCATAGTCTGAGGTTTTTTATATACCTGAAAATACTCAAATTTGCTGTTTTATTAAATTTAAGTATGTTTATAAATGACTAGCTACTCGCCGCGGCTTGGCCCGGGTGTACATATATTATACATATAAACCTTCCTCTTGAATCACTCTAAGAAAAGCTCCAAAATCCGTTGCGTAGTTTTAAAGATTTAAGTATACATAGGGACGGACAGACAGCGACAGCGACTTTGTTTTATACTATGTAATGACTAGCTACTCGCCCTGACTTCGCACTGGTACATGTGTGTACATGTATTATATATATAAACCTTCCTCTTGAATCACTATCTATTAAAAGAAGAACTGCTTCAAAATCCGTTGCGTAGTTTTAAAGATTTAAGCATACATAGGGACGGACAGACAGCGACAGCGACTTTGTTTTATACTATGTAATGACTAGCTACTCGCCCTGACTTCGCACGGGTACATGTGTACATGTATTATATATATAAACCTTCCTCTTAAATCAGTATCTATTAAAAAAAACTGCTTCAAAATCCGGACAGACAGCGACAGCAATTTTGTTTTATACCATGTAACTAGCGACTCATCCCGGCTTCGCACAGATGCTTTACAAATCTTTGAATTTCTCGACTTCTGTTCTGTATAACACGCATGTATTATACATATAAACCTTTCTCTTGAATCACTCTATCTATTAAAAAAAACCGCTTCAAAATCTGTTGCGTATTTTTAAAGATTTAAGCATACATAGGAACAGATAGCGACAACAACTTTGTTTTATACTATGTAATGACTAGCGACCCATCCTGGCTATGCACTGACCAATATCCCCATTACTAGCAATGTACCATGTTAGGTTGATCTCCACGCTGTTCCTCCTGGTAACTACAATATCATCATAAATTCCTGGTGAATTTGTCACGATGGGCTAACTGGCCTGACTTCATGTCCATCTTGTCCTCGTGGGACGGACAGACAGTGACAGCGACAGCAACTTTGTTTTATACTATGTAATGATTAGAAACGTTCAAAATTTTTTATCATGTGGAAGAAATGACGTCCTCTCCTTATCACTATTCACCTTTAAAAAACTATATAAGAATTATCTATGTACTATTTAACCTATAAATCTTACGGCAAAGTAGTTGAATATATATGTTTAATGTTTATATTTATTAATGTCATTTTATTCTATTTTGTTATTTCTAGTATATGTAATTGGTTTGTATTTATTAGTTGTAATTTTGTTTTAATTATTATCATTAATATTTTAAATAGTGCCCTCTCTTTCACCCCTTTATATATATATATTTTTGGTGCCACTGAAAATCAGCTGTATGTTCACCTAGGACATACATTAAAGCTGAGTGGAGCCATTTCAGTGCATTTTTGGATGTAAATAATGATTATTTTATGTTTATTTTTAATTATCTACATGGTAAATTAAGTTTAATTATATGTACATTTTATTTGCTCTTTTTTTTTGTTTTCGTTTGTTTGTATATTGTATTTTTTACATTGCACTGAATGAAATATTTCTCTTTCTTCTTTCTTTCTTTCTCCTACAGATGAGAGACAGCAGACGATTAATAAGATGTACATAAAGCTTATATTGAAACCTTCTTTTATAGAAAACTCCGCGTCATAACCAACTATTTCGTCGTGTCCCTCGCCTTCGCTGACATCCTGGTGGCAATGGTCGTCATGCCTTTCAATTTTAGCGTCCAATTCAATCAAAGATGGGTCTTCGGGCAGACGATATGTGATCTGTGGAACTCATCAGATGTATACTTCACATCAACGTCCATACTACATCTGTGTTGCATATCCGTTGACAGATATTATGCAATTGTGAAGCCGTTGAAATATCCTATAAAGATGACCAAAAAGGTTCGTATCTAATTGATTTAATATTCTTTATTGCACTAAATACAGAATAAACAAAAAGTAATTAAATAGTACTGACGGCCTAGGTGGTGTAATAATTTAGCACACCACTTTACATATATCTGATGGTCGCGGGTTTGGTACGGTTCAAACATTTATATTCATGAGTATGACTGTTTGTGTCGGTCTGGGTATTTTCTACGTGTATTATGTATTTATTTACAAAAGAAATATTAAAGTTTTTAATATCACTTGTCTAGTCTCCATAACACAAGTTCTGCATAATGTGGGATTAGATGGCGCTGTGTTAATTGTCCAGGGTAAAAAAAGAAAAGTAAAACATTAATAAGATAAAAAGGGTGGCACACGTAATAAACATAAATAAATATATATATCTTACATATAAAATTCTCGTGTCACAGTTTTCGTTCCCATACTCCTCCGAAACGGCTTGACCGATTCTCATGAAATTTTGTGAGCGTATTGAGTAGGTCTGAGAATCGGCCAACATCTATTTTTCATCCCCCTAAATGTTATGTCCATCCCTAAATTTTTTTTTTATTTTAAGGCAAAACAACGTTTGCCGGGACAGCTAGTATATATATATATATATATATATATATATATATATACAACAACATATACTTATTATTATATATAATATAATATAGATATAATTAATAGCGCACATACATTTGAAAAGTTTGTTTTATGCGTACTAGACAACTGATATATATCCAGACATAGATCCTTTTTTTATTGTAAATGTACGTAGAATTTACTTATTATAAGTTATAAACTAAATTTATACTCTTATCCGCCACCATCTTACCGCGACCATCGGAAGTAAAGGTAATAAATATAATAAACATACTAAACCATCCTGATCCAAATATCCTGAGGATATGAAAATCGTCACTCCTAAGATTATCCTTCAATTCTTGTCCCTGACGGATCTAGGCAGCGAACTCTGAAACAGGGCGAGCACAATAGATCTATATAGGTCGCAGTGCTTCAGGTCTAAGCACCTGACAATAGCCGAATAGAAAAAACCATAGGGCCGTCAATTAATTCTTTATTAGTTTATTTTTAACTCCATGTTTAAAAGCACCTGACAGTAGCCTAAACCCGTGGATAATAAAAAACCATGGAGCCGTCAATTAATTCGTTGTAAGTCTTTTTAACTCCATGTTTAAAAGCAACTGACAATAGCCTAAACCCCCCGATAAATAAAACCATGGAGCCGTCAATTAATTCGTTGTAAGTCTTTTTAACTCCATGTTTAAAAGCACCTGACAGTAGCCTAAACCCCCCGATAAATAAAACCATGGAGCCGTCAATTAATTCGTTGTAAGTCTTTTTAACTCCATGTTTAAAAGCACCTAACAATAGCCTAAACACCGTTCCCCCTGGAAACCATCGTGATACATTCCCGGTGAATTTGTCACATTGGGCTAACTGATCTGACTTCATGTTCATCCTATCATGCTCCACTGGTGCCCCGCCAGCGTAAACCGTTAGCGCAGGCGGGTGCACCATTCCATTATCCTCTTTTAAAAAAAAACCTAAACACCCGATAAAAAAAAACCATGGAGCCGTCAATTAATTCGTTGTATTTTTTTTGAATCCATGTTTAAATACGTAATGTTTCCCAACAACTCACGGAGTTAGCATACAAATAGCAAGCAGTTACTGAGCCTAATGGCCGGCTACAAATAAAGATGTTACGTGAGCGGTGCCCCTTATCTTGAATCCTTCCCCGAGGACAACTCTAATATAAAATATTACACGGATTCCTAATTCATCTCTTGTTCTCCAATGAAACGTTTCTACATCACGGAAAATGCTAGTTTTAGATGTTTTACTATTTTATTTACAAACTTGCTATAGAATAGAATAGAATAGAAATAATCTTTATTCAGATAAACTCATTACAAGCACTTTTGAATAGTCATATTTTGATTCTACCACTCATTCGGAATGCAGATTCATCACATGAAGAATGAGCAAGAAACTTGGGTGTTGCTCTTTTTAATAGATGTTTTTTTTTTATATAAATAATTACAGTATAACAAGTAAGAGGCATGCGATAATCAACATAGAAGTCGCTACGCACTCATTATTAATGTAATCAGATAATATTGTCAGTGCTATAGATTTAAAGTTTTTCTATAAAAAAATCTGCATTTTTTATTATTTAGGATAATTCTTATACAAAAATGTATGTGTAAATATAAATACTTTAAAAAGCTATTTGTAGTGTTTCAATTTTCATACGTTTCATCCCCTAATTTATTCTACTCCTTTAAGGGTATATTTTTTACAAACTTTGAATGTCTTCTTTATTTATATTTAATCAACAGCCTAAAAAACAGGCTCCAAGTTTGTCCAAGTTGCTCCAAGCTTTAAAAATGACGTCACTTCTATACAAACTTTCATCTCTTCTTTTAAGTGGATATTTATTTTATTTTTAATAAAGTAAATAAATTTTAAAAATATAATTAGCCTTATGCTACACCTTTATCTTATATATAAAATTCTCGTGTCACAGTTTTCGTTCCCATACTCCTCCGAAACGGTTTGATCGATTCTCATGAAATTTTGTGAGCGTATTGAATAGGTCTGAGAATCGGCCAACATCTATTTTTCATCCCCCTCAATATTAGGGGTAAAACAACGTTTGCCGGGACAGCAATATGTATGTATTTACATAAAAAAAATCTAAGTATTTATATCAGCTGTTTACTACCCATAACACAATCTCTTACCATGGGACTATAGCGCTGTGTTAATTGTCCTAGCTTATTTATTATTTATTCACTTCCTATGGTTGCGGGTTCGAATCCTCGCACGGTGCAAACATTCGTTTTCATCATTATTCTATTTTTTTATTTATTTATTTATTTATTTAAGCTTTGCATTCCATAATTTTACAGTAAATAGATAGTCAGGTACATTTCAAAGTAGGTTAATTATGGACCCTGTTGGGCACAGCAAGCGAAAGAGAACAGAGGAGGACGAGTTATTTTTTATATAATATATAATAATAATAAAAAAAAAATTTTCTACGTATTATGTATGTAAAAAATCTAAGTTTTTATATCAGTTGTCTAGTACCCATAACACAATCTCTTACCGTGGGACTAGATAGCGCTGTGTTAATTGTCCTACCTTATTTATTATTTATAAATAAATAAATCCATTTACACATCCATGAATACGACTAAACTCGCAGTCAGTCGTAACTCAAATGTTAGTTCTCTATTAGAAGATAAACATACCCGTATAGCGTTGTTTGTTTGTATGGTAAACATAGTTTGTCGGGTTGCAAACATTGCAATGAATAATACCTTCACGGCAGTTATCTTTGATGGGGTAGTCGGAACCATCGTCGACATCATGGAATACTTGTAAAAAACATTTCAAACTCGTTATTCGTATTTATTTACAAGCTGCGCCCGCGATTTCAGTGCTCTGCAGCAGACTGCAGGTGTGCTCAGTAGAGTGAGACGGTATTTCACGGCGGCCCATCGCTTGCAATTATACAAGGCGCAGATCCGGCCGCACATGGAATACTGTTCTCACCTCTGGGCGGGAGCACCACAATACCAGCTACTTCCATTTGACCGCATTCAGAACCGAGCAGCCAGAATCATTGGTAATCAACGTCTATGTGACAGACTCGACCCATTGGCTTTGCGGCGTGATATTGCATCTCTGTGCATTTTCTACCGCATATATCACGGGGAGTGTTCTGAGGAATTGTTCGGATTAATACCAGCTGCTGAGTTTCACCACCGTACCACCCGCCAGAAACTGAAATACCATCCTGATCATCTGGATGAATGGCGGTCTTCCACAGTGCGGTTTTCTAGAAACTTTTTGCCTTGCACAACCACATTATGGAATCACCTTCCAGCAATGGTATTTCCGAACCGATACGATATTGAAACCTTCAAGAAAAGAGCTTATTCCTTTTTAAAAGGCCGACAACGTACTTGCAATTCCCCTGGTGCTCATGGGCGGCGGTAATCACTTACCATCAGGTGAGCCGCATGCTCGTTTGTCCCCTGTGTTATAAAAAAAAAAACTTCGTCCACCTGTAGTAGAGTCCTTTGATAGCATTTTTAATTATTTAGGCTAATTATTTTACAAATAAGAGACACATGACATTTCCATACAAACTGTCATCCCCTATTTTCTTTTAATTTTTAAGGGTAATTTTTGTATAAACTTTGTCTGTAATATTTTATTATATTTAATCAACAGCCTAAGATATAAATTACAAGCTTCTAGAGTTTAAAATGTCTTACAACCCTTTTCTTAATAAAAAGTAGCTTTAGCTTTCTTTCCTATCTTTTAACCGATACTTGCATAAAACCTTTCATCACCCCTTTCAACCCCCTTTTTTTTATTGGGTTGTTTGGACTATTGTCAGATGTTTGTAGCACCTGTAGCACTGCGACCTACATAGATCTATTGTGCTCACCCTTTTTCAAAGTTCGCTACCTAGACCCGTCAGGGACAAGAATTGAAAGATATTCTTAGGAGCGATGGTTTTTATCTCCTCGGGAAAGAGTGTAAACTTTCCAAGGGAGATATTTCATTTATGCATTAGTGGGCTACAACCACATAGTATGTGAAGCGGCGTTTCCTCTTCAGTTTGGCAGAATCTGCAGATTCCAACCCCTTACAACCCTTTTTTTGCATTAATAAGTAAGCCTATATCCTTTCTCAGGGTCTAGACTGTGTACCATATTTCGTTTAAATCGGTTCAACAGTTTCCGCGTCAGACAGACAGACAGAGTTACTTTCGCAAGGCAGTAAGGATGAATCCAATGCTCTTACATAATTAATTAAATTCTAGTGTTATTTTGATAGTTCTCCGGTTTCTGTTATTGTAATGTGAGAGAATTTTCTCAGATGGCTGTTCTAATTATTGTTTCCTTCTATTTGTTTAGACTTATTAATAGTCCCCTATTTCCTTGTCATCCAAGGTCTAATGGTTTAGCAAATTGCCTTACTTCCGATGATCGCAGGTTCGAGCTCTTGCACGGTATAAACATTTGTATTAATGAGTATTGTTTGTATAGATCTGGGTGTTTTATATTTATTACTTAATGGGTTTTTTTATTTTGTATAATTCGGAATTAGGTGTTATTTTGCGGAAGTCCATTTCACTACTTAATGGATGTTTAATATTTTGTTTAATTCCACTACAATTAGCTTGTGTGAGACTACAAATATTCTGTATAGAAACTTGACTACCTTTACGATCTTCTCTAATGGAGTCATCTTAGGTATTTCTACCGATGAAGGACCAAAATGTGGGCGATAGAATGAATGGACTGCATGCGTGATTTAAATCAAACAAATAGATTTTACAATTTTTGTCTGCCTGTCTATCTGTGTTTGTTTCGGCTAATCTCTGAAATGGCTGGACCGATTTTGACGGGACTTTTATTAGCAGGTAGCTAATCTAATAAGTACTTAGGCTTAGTCTTAGGCTACTGTTATTTTAGAACAATTCCCTAATTAACTTTTTTTTGTTAAATTGCATGCGAACGAAATCGCGAGTACAGCTAGTAAATGTGTAAAATTGTGAAAAGAGTTTGCAACACCGGGCCAGCTAGTTATTATTCTAATATAATATTCATTGTTTCAGATGGCATTTGTAATGTTAGCCGCCACTTGGCTGAGTCCCATTACAATATCCTACGTACCAATATTCATGGGATGGTACACCACTGCAGATCATTTACAACACCGAACAGTTGACGAGTGTGAGTTTAAAGTGAACAAGCCATACGCTGTTATATCTAGCTCAATATCCTTCTGGATACCGTGTACAATAATGATATTCACATACTTAGCGATATTTAAAGAAGCTAACCGGCAAGAGAAGGCATTACATGCAAGAGCGGGGAACGCCATGCTAATGCACAGGCATTCCAGGGAAGTTGGTGATAAAAATGGAGCGTTACACATAAATGCCAATACCCCAACCAAAGATAGGAATATACTTAAGATGAAGAGAGAGCACAAAGCAGCGAGAACTTTAGGCATCATAATGGGAGCATTCATTCTTTGTTGGCTCCCGTTCTTCCTGTTTTACGTGTCGACATCTCTTTGCGTTACGTGCAAGTGTCCTGATGTCGTAACTGTGATCATGTTTTGGACTGGTTACTTCAATTCCGCGCTGAATCCTATAATCTACGCGTACTTCAATAGAGACTTTCGTAATGCGTTCAAGAATACATTAGCTTGTGCGTTCTGTAGTTTTTGTAGAAGAAGTGCATCAGATTTGGACGCTATGGAACGACTTGACAGACGAGGCTCTGGACAGTTGCGGGTACCCGTTCCATCAAGGAGAGCATCCGATTTAGCATCTCTTTGAATACCGAAGTGTAACGCGACACACGTTTGAGGCCTAGTGTAATCTCAACGAAGTATTTTAGGCCAATTAGAAGATGTACTTAATTTTGTTGTGACTGACACTTTTTTGTAGCTTTTTAAAAAATGTACAGGTAATTATATTAAGCATTTGTGTGGTATGCAAATTAAAAAAAATTGGTCAGTCAGTTAGTAATAAGATAGTAAAGTATTTAATTAATAAATTTATTCAGATTTTAATGTATAGTTTAGTGGAATTATCTACGAAACATTTAGTTAGTGTGAATGTTTGAAAACTTTTTATTACCAAAATAAGTTAATGATTAATGTTGCTTTTATTAGCAACTATTTTATTATTTAACCAAAGAGTTTTGTCGTTTTCCGTTCTTAATCATATTGTACATAATAATAATTATATACCTATATAACGGATCAAGTAAATAATATATTAATTATTGTCTATTATGTACCAATGCTGTAACTATAAAAAATGATTACTGTATATGTATCCAATATTTAATAAATAGAACTAAATATTTACTAAAAAATATTTATTATTAATTGTCACAATTTTATTTTAATATTTATAATTATATATAATAATAAAAAGAGTCTGAAAGACCACATATAAATGAAATATTTAGCTTAAAAGTGATTAGAATAAAATGTAAATAGACAATTATCTTAAATATAAAAATATATTAATTATAATAAAATTGTAATTTATTATTTCGTTATTCATATTATCATCATTATCACAATTAAACTAGTATATTAATATTAATTAAATTAATAATCAAATTCATTAATCTCTTCATTTAATAATGGCCTTTGTTTCTTTCATTATTTCTCTAAAATATTGCGTTTTTTCACTTGTTTTATATATTGACGTATTATTCACGTATTGGACAACGTTAATTACAACGAACGATAATAACCTTCTAAATGGAGTCATTAAATAGCAATTGATCGGATTCGGGCTCGAAGGACCAAAATTAAATACGATGGTTGTAATAATGATTTATCAAATTACTAGTGATCCGTCCCGGTTTTGCACGGATGTCTAACATATTTTTTGGCCGGTTCTGTACTATAACATGCGTTTATTATACATATAAACCTCTCTTAAAACACTCTATCTATTGCTGAAAATTGCATTCAAATCCGTTACGTAATTTAAATGATATAAGCTAACAGACTGAGGCAGTGACTTTGTTTTATACTATGTAAAGATATCTTGTTTGCTTATTTATTATTTATCGTTCATCTATTTTTATTATTACAACTTTAATATACAGATGCTTTGGTAGTACTTATAAATAGTCCAAGGCAAATAAATAATACACAAATGATGTAGAAGTTATTTGAAGCAAAAAGTAATTATTTTGACATAAAAACAAATTTGTATTTAGTTTCATTTTGCCGGATTTCATTAAACGAGAATTTATATTCTTAAACCTACAATTATACTCTGCTCTTCTCGTTAGTTAACGCTTTTATCATTATGAATATTACTGAGAATTTTGATTACTAATTAGAAGCGGGTTAGCACATCGGCTGAACAATATACGAACCAAATAGACAATGTGTACATTAAATTCGGTGTAACAATTTAATGATAGGGGTGTGTTAACAGCTAAGACTATACCCTTATATATAAATGTATATAATAAAACCTCACGTCATGATATTTGTCCGGGTTAAACACCGATAATCTTTACTTAACCAATATTTGTAACTTGGCTTACGTTGTGTAATTTGGTCCAATGTAAAAGACAGAATAGTGTTTATTGACCACACATTGTTTTTCCGGGATGAAGTTCTATCTGCTTAATATACTTTTATGAAATTAGGATCATTCGAGTGTGATCATGATCGCGATCATTAGCGCGGTAAAGCTAGCGCTCGCATTCGCTTGTGATTCCATTCAACTATATTTGTGTTTTCTATTACGCGGGTATGTTTCATGCCATTTTTATTTCTTACTAGCTGCTCCTTTTTTTTTTCCCCATATTCGTCCATCTCCTTTTCAGTGATGGAACAGGCAAAGATCCTTAGACCGTACAGCCTAGTCTACTTTTAAACTTCTTCATATTTGAACAAGTAATGAGGCCAAAGGCCAAGCTGCTCCTATGACAACGAAGTGGGTACAGCTATACAGAATAAAAATGAATAACAAATTCAGAGGTCATATTTATGAAACTACACATTTCCTAAGAAATGTTGTAATATCAGAAAAAAAAACCTACATACGAAGAGCCTAGTCATCTTATCGATATAGTATAAAAATATCCCAGATATTCGAACTTATCCTTTGAGGAAGGTTATTTTCAATTGTATGTAATTTAGGTATTTCGGTTGTTGTGTCCTGACATGTCATATAATGTTATATGTTTTGCTGTAAATGATTTCAGTAATAGTATATGTAGTCCTAAAAGGCCATGTTCATTATAAGGCCTAAATTATTCAGACACATCTCATTTCGTCAGACAGGCCAAAGGTGCACTGTATATTAGTCAAATCATCATTATATTTAGTAATACATGTGTAGGGTAATTAGAAATAAATATAGATAGTTACCGTTGATGTAAGACATCAAAATATTATAAAAATAGATTATAAAAATACGTTTTTTATGAAATTATAATAATTATCATTCACGAAGATTATATTTCGTTGTTCTTTTCGTTGTTGCAATTATTTATTTTGTTACATAAATTATTTATTTATTATGTAGACATTAATTATTTTGTCAATGTATATATACATTATGATTAAGTCATCACAATTAGTATATTATATATTATGTAAATGTAACTAGTTTAGTACAGACACTTAGTATTTAAATCATTTTGTTTAAACTTTGATAGGAAGATACTATAAAAATTATGGGGACAAATAACGCTTCAATAGAGAAAAAAAAAAACAATTTTTAAAATAATTATTGATGTGCTACGAATAACTTATAACAATCCAGTTAGATTTGGTGTGTCGGTGTTGTAACAGAAACTGTTTAATATAGTAATAATATTATTAAAATTACTAACTTGACTAATCCTTGAACATACTTAATACCCTTTTCACAATCAAAGTTTTGAGCTACTTATATTTTTTAGAAAAATATAAAAAATTGTATTATTTTAAACAGTAACTGTAATTTTATAAATATATATATAAATAATATTTATTACGTGTATATCGAGTTTTAGAAAATATATTAATTTTCTAAAAATATCCTTCGCTCAAAACTCCTTCTCTATTTTCCCGAATAGCGAGTAAATTCTGTGAATGATTAAGTGATGTCATTCTTGGGTCGTTTTATGGTAAACTGATGAATGATTGGTAACTGGGATGGAATGCTATAATTTTCCTTTCTTCATTAGATATATATATAAAAATTGTATAGTTGGTGTCCATTTAAGTGTCATATGAAAATATAGCTTTGCATAAGTAAAATCCTTTATTCTATATCTATATTATTACTTCAAGTCTTTTTACTTAAATAATCCAGTAGAACATTTCTTATTTTAATTAATATTGCAGCCAATATTAAGTACTATATATTATATAAATAAATATTTAACATTCAACCAGTAATAAATAATCTGATATTATATATATTTATATTTATATAATTATATACATATATTTGTGTATTTTTATAATAAATACATAAATTTACAATTATTAGGCATATTAGAAAAATTTTAGTTAATTCATAATTTATTTATAAATAAATTGTAATGTAGCAATTTTTTATACAAATAAATATTACATATAATATATGAATTTGTAATGAATGAGCGCTATAAAACAAAATCCCTTCATTATTTCAAGAACACTATACTTTACTGTCTAACTAAACTTTCCAAGATATTGCTATTGTAAATTCAATGTGTCTTCCTTTTGAATAAGTAAATTAGGCTCAACTTAAAATAGAGGAAATATATAGATTAGTGTATGTGTAGCCAATTTTTAGTGTCTCTCCTAATGTGGTGTGCTGTAAAATCTCACATACAGGTAGGGTTGCCAACCATACTTTATAATAACGTATCCTACTTTATTTTTAGTAATTATACTTTATACTTTAATATAAAGTATGCAAAATTACTTTATTTTAAAACTTTACTGTGATGCGTAAAACAAAATACTCATTATGGGTACTTAAAGATTTATAATTACTGAACGAAATGTTAGATGTCAATTGTGAGTCGTGAGTTTTGTCACAGCTCTATTGTTAAAAGCACACAAAAATATGTTGTTAATGCAAAAAAAAAACTTTTTTTTCCTAATTTTTTTTTTATCCAAACCGTTTTTACTTTTTTATGGTCAAAGAAAGTTGGCAACCGTACATACAGGCTGTATTATGTAAAAAGAGTAATAATATATGGTTGTGATTTCTATAGATATTACAACTAACTATCTAACTATATTAATCATATCCAAATGTTTAATTTACGTAGACCATTTTATTGTTTAAGTTTAGATGACTGAAGTTGGTTTAGTTTTAGATACATTTCATAATTCAATAGTTTTAAGTCATGAATTCGAAATGTTATGTACCAATATTTCTTTTGAGATCCGTCCAAGTATTGTTTCATCGCCGTTGTTTATTTGACTCATTATACTGACTATGGCCACTTTTCTAATCTATTTTTGAAAGAGTCACTGAAAAAAAATAGTCCCTACTTAACTTTAGTAATGAACACATAAATATTTATTAGTATTTATTGAAAAATTATAATTAAAATAATTTGACTATTTATTTCGTTAAATTTTCTGAATATTAATTTATTATTATTTATTTATTTATTATAAGAAATCCAGGGCTATACCATATAGATGTTGAAACAATTATATAACAAACTAAGCCACTGACAGGCTTTCAGAAATAGATATAGACAGAAATTCGACATCACTACATATAAAGACAACAAGAATCCAGACTATAAAATGTTAGGAAAAGAACAAGATTCCAGTAACAACAGTAGATTTGACATATGTCAAATCTAGGTCATGTAGGTCTATTACAGACTCTTATGATATCATAAGAGTCTGTAATAGACCTACATGAATAAAGACATTTTGAATTTGAATTTGAACAAGTATAAAGTGTATTTATATAATTATATATACATATATATACCCCAAATAAATGGGATAAGGAAGTAACAGATGATGCTGGTACACATG